CAGACAAGTCACGTTCGCAATTCCCCAGAAATATCACGTGCAATGTTGAAATTGAAAACACGATTTAACGGAGCTATTCACCTTCAATATTATCTCCGAATTGCCAACTCACTTGCGATGAGAGTAAAAACGTGTTACTACAAAGAAAACAAAGAAGAAGATTGAAATTGCAATAATATTGACATTCATAGAAATAACACACGTTGCAACAACAACTCTTGCATACATACATACATGCATATACCGAGTTAGTTTCAGGCGCCTAACGCGTCGTATGCTGGCAATAACATATCAGCTGTTGGTATTCGGCCAGACGCCTAGCACATATTGCTGAAATTGAATTTGGCTCACTGTTGGACAAACAACGACATGTGACACGACGTGTCGTAAGCATGAAGACAAATTCAATTTGTTCGTAATGCGAGCGAGAATGGTCGTCCGATGGCCATCCTTGAAAGTGCCGTGCGCATTGTTCTTCCATTGCTCTCAGATCTTGTCTATGTTGATTATGTGTGTCGTATCATCATGGTAAACTTTGTTTTTATAGATGTCGGAAGTGTAAATATAAATACTTTAATGTAGCTATTAAGAGTTAAGATATTCGATTTTGGTTTTTGAAAGAGAAAACACGCAATGGAATCAAAAAGCGTTTGTATATTTTATATTTTTGCTCCTCTCTTTCGATGACGACCATAAAAAATTGGTTTAACGAGTTTCAACGTGGTCGCGCTTCGGTCTTTGATAATGCGCCGAAAATGGTTACCTTGGAGGGAAGAATGACAAAAAATTCACAATCTCTATTTTCAGACCGTCGACTGAAGGTGCAAGTGATGGTTGATACAGTTAGTATCTCAAAAGGCCTCATGAGTCATATACTGCTAAAAAAATATAAATCATGTGAAAGCTGTCCGCCAGAGTGGTGCTACTGTGCGATCACATCAGAGGATCGCTTGATGCTGTTTAAGCGCAATTCGAAGGAGTTTCTTCGTAGTTTTTTACCGTCAATGAAACAAAAATACACTGCTACACAGCAGAGATCAAGGAACAGGCGAGGTAGTGAACTTCATGCGACGAACTTGCTGCGGAAAATACGAAGATTCAAGAAGTCATGGCCATTGTTTTCTGGGATTCACATGGAATGATCTACATTCACTCCCCGGTGAAGTTGAAAACGATGACAACGATCCACTACACCGAGTTATTGGGCCGAATTGACGCTGAACTGTAGACAAAAGGCCGCATTTTATGAAAAAAAGGTGTTATTGATTGTACTGGTTCACAACTCCGTCATTGACAGACCAAACTGTTCGAACTATTCTTTTAACTGTATCTCTCCCCACCATGTTTTCGGATTTGGTCCCATGCGAGTTCTTTCTGCCGCCAAACTTGAAAAAGCCACTCGCTGGTCAAATGTGGAAACTATCGCAGCCACTGGTTACGTCGATGCCCTCCCGAAAACGAATTTCGATCGTTCTTTCGATAGAAAAAATATTTAATAACCTATTAATATTCAGTAATGCACCAGATCATCAGACCAATCAAAATTTAAATATTTTTTATAGGAAAATATTAAAAAAAAATTTAAAAAATTGTAGGAAAATATTAAAAGCTTCTAACCACTATTTTTCATAAAAAATGTTCCATAATTTCTTACAAAACAACACTTTTAACTCATTTCGAAGTGCAAATTAATTTTATAGGAGAACATTTATGCTGAAGAGAGAACAAACGCATCTATAGTAACTCATCCACGCATTAAATTTATTCTAATGCGACTTTAATATACTCAAGTGACTGAGTTTAGTAGCAGCAGACAATAAACCATGAAAAATCTTATGATAACAACAACAGCAACCATTCTTTTATGTCTAATATAATAAGCATAAATTCAGCTTGGTGGAAGCAACGATGGAAAACCGTAGAAATCTCGAACTCCTTCAAGCACACGCACACACACAAAGCTATAAAGTGTCGTACAGGATACGTGAGTTAACAAACGGGAAATCTGAAGCACGAAGGTTATATAAAGGAAGGGCTCTTTGTGTGGAGTCTTCACGTGAATAAGTGTGTGATTGAAAAGGTGATTGTTGAGAATAGGTGAAAGCATTAGAGATATAAATTGTTGGATAAGCATATAAATTGGTAGGATAGCAGAAAGGCTGGCATGAAGGTAAGAGCGTCTGGAGGAAGTCGCCATGGTCAGAAGTTGAAGCGTAATAGAAGCCTTATGCAAACGTAGTTGGCCTTACGCATCATTAAATTTTACTATGTAATAAGATGTGGCAGGACTAATGGTCAAATTGCATACGGATAATGATGTCCTTCTGGACAGTTTTTGAGAGAAAACAAAGCAATGTTTTATATTCTAGGTTAAGCATATGAGCAACAAGTTTTTGAAGTGCTTACATACTATTGAAAAAAACATGATGCCAAGTACTCTTGTGATTTTTAGATTTTGTTTGATGAAAAAAGAGTGTTTGCGTGAAATTTAAGTAACTACATTGATAAAAAATTAGAATCTACAGAGTAATTCTGAAAGAGAGGTGGTTTCGGTGAAGCTACACAGGTCTGTTCAGATTATCAGTCAGGTAAATTCATCACCTTAATCTTGGCAAGAGGTCTGCCTTTCAGATATCGCCTCGGAAAATACATTTACAATCCTCCTCATACGATATCCAAGAAAACACACACATATAAATTCGAAAACAACTAGAACACACACTACTACAGGGACCTCAAAACTCCTACGCAATCATATGTTTTCTTAAGAAGCTCTTCTGAAGAAGAATGTGTGAAATTAAAGCAGAAATGTAGTTGACACTTCGCCGCAAAACATATTTTAATTTATGGTAATTGCATATTCATACTCATTCCACCAATTTACAATCAATTATATTAATGATATTATTGCTCGTTCTACCCTTCACCATATTCGCAGCATTAACGCGTCGTGCAAATGAAATCATTAACAATTGGCGTCATTGTTTTGCGAAAAATGCAATTATTTCCACATTTTAATTGTAATGGGATACGCTCGCACACATACATACACACTCATATATGTATATACCACGCTCAAGTATAAATCAAATTTGATTACATGTGTGGCATTGGCACTGCTTTTAAAACATTTCAGCTCATTTGCGAATAATATTGCTATATTTATAGATTAATGGGTAATCGCTGTAGTTGTAATTATTGGCGTTGAATTATTTGCTATAATTGAGTTTAACAGTAAATAGGTAATTGCATATTAATTACTCAAATGTAAACGGGAAGTATGTAGATGCCCATATGAAGGAAGCCTTCAGAATAAGTCATTTAAATTGGTAAATACAATGCAATAAATATGAATTAGCAAAAATTAACTTTATACTTCTTTGTTGACATAACACTCGATTATCGAATTTGAAATCGCGCTTACCAACGCCAATTTTGCTGTGTAATTTATATAGAAATTAATGGGTGCAAATACAAATGAAAATTATAATATTTGTATGCCGCATTTTATTGCTTGTATTGTACTAGCAATAATTATATCTAATGTGTTGAATTATTACTAAGCAGTGACCGTAAATAGCGATTTCAATTGTGATTTTTAAATGAACATATTAATCACTTAGAATTGACACAATCAGACTCTTCGACCACTACCACTTAACGATCTTGTGTTACCCTCTTGATTTGACTGCTATAGAGTGGTTCGAACTTTCCGTCACCTGCTCTATCGATTCCAGTGGATAACGTTCCGTGTGATTGTGTTCAGAGTCTACGAAATGCCATGTTGCACAGTCGTATAGAAGGGTGGAATTAATATTGAAGTTAAATATTTTTATTTTTGTACGCCGCGTAATAATCGAGGAGTTACAGACCATATTCAGGGCGCTAATGCGACTACCCGCATCAGAATACATCGCCCTTATAAATTCACTCAGTTTTGAGAGTACCCCTCTATAAAAACGTTACATTGGCTATTTACCTGGTCAATGCATGAGCTTCCTGGACGAAAGCGTGCTTGTTCTTTTCTCAATGTCAGCTCAAACTAAGAATAAATTTATGTTAATACTTTTCGACAATCTGTGCATTCCCATAATTAAATTTTAAAATTGTGAATAATTTAATAAAAGTAGTAAATAATCATTATTATACTTGTTTTTTTGCTCAAAAGTAAAGATTTCTTATGAGATATTATAAAATTACCCAAAATACTTGTAAACATTTCTGTGCAAAAAAAAAAACAAAAAAACAATATGTAACATTATTTTTAAGCTTTCAGTTTCTGTTACTAAATACTTGAATATTACTATTATTGACTGCTCAATTATTAATTTAATGGCTGTAATTGTGAAAATAAGCAGTTGAGTACTTTGAAACACTCATATAGCTAGTCAGTGCTTATATGTGTTATGATCATAATGAATGAGACTATAAAACGCTCAATATTGGCTAAAGATCATATCGTTTCGTGTTCGTTCGTTATTCTTTATTGGCTTTGAAACCGTTAAAGGATCTCGCAAGTATAATTGTAAACATCAAATCAAGTTGAGTTCCACTTCTCCTTGATTCCGAAGGAGTTATCTGCACTGATTTGCTAGCTTCAAGCGGCAACATTCCGAGTACTTTTAGATCAAAGTAATCTTGTAGTCATTCTAACTTTAGCGATATTTCCCACTCTAAATGCATAGACCAGAAATAATTGTCCGTTCTCCAACCTTCAGGCAGAAATTCGTCCCAAATGGTCAATAAGAGAGTGAAAGAGCAGAAGTTAATTGTATGTCTGTTTGTACTGACTGTAGCTGTCAAAAGGTAAAATAAACAACAAATACACAAAAAATTAATAGAAAATGTTTGGTCAGTTTAGGTTCCCCTAAATATGTATGAAAAGACGGCAACTCTATTTGAGTGATTCAAACCTTTTGATCGTTAGCTAAGATAATTTTAATTATATTTTTAGTTATTCATTTGAAAACTAATTATTATCAATATTACTTTCTTTACAGATCCATTAACGCTAATGCTATTTTTATAAAAATGTAAGTAAGCTATTTTGTTTTTTAATAGAAAACGGTCATATTGGCAAGTATTGATTAATATATCAAATATATTTTAAAATCATATTATCATATGATAATAATAAGAATATTAAGATGTTATGGCAAATTATATAACATTTTAATTCCATTCTGGATAGCATAGGTCCAATATAGTTGATCACTAGTTTAAAGAGCTTATATCTATTTGCAAGTAAAATAAAGCGCTTTTTGTAAATTTTTTTGGAAAAATATATAACGCAAAAAATTTACATATATTAATGTATTTTAATATATTTTAATAACTGGCAATTTATTTTCAAATATTTTCGATTCCCTTGATCCCGTAGGATCGATTTTTATCAAATCCAAAAACCAAAAACTAAAAACTAAATTATTATAAAAATAGATGAATACAGATTATAATGGCGGCTTTCAAAAAAAAACGTCGTTTACACTTCAGAGTGGAACAAAAAATCGTAATTGTTTACCAATATTATATTCCTTCGATTAAATTATCCGAGAGTTGTGAAAAAAGTCGATTGTTCAGCCGTTTCAGGCAAATTTTCTTAACTGAACCTGGACACAGGACATTAGGTTTGATTTTCGGACAGATTATTTAAATCTAAAAAATTCTCCGAAGCCATTTACCGGATTGTAATTTCTTAGAATTTTCCCAAATTCATGTACATTTGATATATAAACAAAAAAATCGACTTTCTGAAATTCAAAGTGGATATAATCTATTAATTGTTAAATTGACATTTTGCTTGCAATAATTAAATAATATTTGGAGTGTTTTATTCTCAGTTGGTCACATGTTTTTGCTGTTGAAGTAAATGTTATTATATTTATTTATGTTTAGGATATTTAAATAATACATTCTTTACTAAAATATCTATAAAAAGATACTTTAAGTGTTTTCTAATTTTTGTGAAGACGAAAAACTCAAATTTCACAAGTTTTTTTCTTTGAAAATCACTCACGCAGTTTTCATAAAAAAATAATATTAAGTTTCGCATAATTTCTTACTCCTTAATATATACTTAATTATATACGAGTTGGCATTTGAAAGTTCAATGCCAAACTCGATTACTTTTGGGGTCATAACTAATAAATGTAAGCAAAAACCGTTACACTATAATACATTTTTCCCAAAAAATACGGCCATATCGTGGCAAAGTGCTAAACAACAGAGCAACTTGGTCATAAAGAGGCAGCCAATAATTCGCACGTACTTTTCTACACAATATACAAATTCAAGGAAAAGTATGTGTGTGCAAGTAATCTTGTGGCTACCAACAACAACAAGCGCTTATGAATGAAGATTATTGCCGCACAAAGCGTCTCCTGCCAATTTTTCATTTCATTAAATTGTTGTCCACTTTTTCATTGCAACAAAAATAAATGGGCAATTTTGGCATATTTTACGCGCCTGAAAATATGCTTTTATACGTTTTGTTCGCTCTTTTTTCTTTTGTTTTCATGTTTTCACTGTTTGTCGCCTGCTATTTGTAGCGTTTGTTATTTGTATTTTGTTCTCCGTTCTGTTTTCTGTCAAAGCGATTATTACCGCTAAACCACTGGCTATTTTGTTTTTGCTCTCTGGCTGCAAACGCACAGCCGCACCTGCGTTTTTAATGGGAAACAGTATTTGGTGTTTGTGTAAAAAATATAATTTATTTTCAAGTAAAGGAAAACACGCAAATTGCTTTTAGGTGTGTATGTGTGGCTTCTGTTTTTTGTGAGCGCAAATAATTTTAAATTAAATGTCAACATTTTTATTTACTGTTAGCTTTGCTTGGTTGCTCGCCATTTACTTGCTGACACTCATTTGATTTGTTGGCCATTTCGGTATGTTTCAATTTTATTAACTTTCATAATATGGTGCGCGACGAAAATTGCCGACGAAAAAATCAAAAAAAGAAAAGTATTCAATTGACTTTCTGTAATCTCATTAAAACCGCTATTGGTATGTGCAACTAATGCAAATTTATACTTTATGTGGAAGTATTTAAATTCATTAAGAAATTACTGGCAATAATGAAATTATATGTGCAGTAGATTCGTACTTTATTTGCGTAAATACCACCAGTTGTATACAATATTCTGTTAAGAAAAGCTATACAAAATTATTTGCAAAGGTTTATCAGTGCGTATACGTAATGTAAAATATTCTCGATTCCGGCAAATGAACAGCTGCTTAGAGCGAAAAGGACATGTGCTAATTTTCAGATCAATATCTTAAAAACTGAGTGAATTCGTACAAAGCTAAATCGACTTAACTGGTGACGACCATTTATATTTGTACTTTATGAAGTCTCCGGCGTTTCCTTCTGCGTGTTACAAATTTCGTGACAAACTTAATATAACCTGTTCATGATACAAATATTCCTCCATTATTAAATATATGCATTTTAAAAATATAATTAAGTATCTGTATATAATAAAAAAAGTTTTGTTCGTATGCATAATTCAAGCTTAAAGCACGTAATTAAATAACTTTCGATGTTGTTTAAATTATCTTTACTTTTGCTTACTATTCGTAATATGAAATTATCTCTCTTGCATTATAATTACCACACGTTACTTTACCACAACAATTTGCTGTATTATTATTGTTTAAAATCTATTCATTAAGATTATATCTATTTCATTATATAATTACCTATATTTAACAAAGGATATGTAATCAACTACACATATTGCTACATATATATTAATTGTATAAGATAATATATAAATCTTCCTCATTTCTATTATCCTTATCTTCTCCTTTGCACACTCGTTGAATATTTTCAATCGCCATGATTGATGTGATGCTCAAAGAAACTTACGCACACCCACACGTACTAAAACATAAAAGTATTGCACTCTCTTAGCGTAATTAAGCCACTGCTCTTATGTTTGTATTACTCTTAAAAAAAGTTCAATTTATTGAAACAGTTAATGCGGAAATTTAATAGTTGTGGGATTTACGTCGCCGGAGGTGGCGAGCAACCTTTGATGCAAGCGCGTTTTGTGCACCAGCTGGAAGGTTTAATAATTAGATTTTAGCGAAAGTTTCAGATGAGAAGAGTACAATCTAAATACTTGTATGTATAACTTTTATTTTTCACTCTTTAGAGATTTTAAAATGAGATGATAAGCTGTCAATCACATGTAAAATAATTATTTTATCGTTCTAAGCAGTGTCATTAATGATATAGGCGACTATGAGCCGCTGAGTAAATTATGGAATATGATAATTATTACTAGTTAATATTAGGCTGTAACGTTACTAATTGCAAGATAGACCAACATTCTTTTCATTTTTGTTGAAACGTCGAAAAGTGAATGGAAAGTAAAGTCATTTCCATGTAACGTGGTCAGGATACTTACAGTAGGGTTCTTTACTTATAGAAACTTGATATGGTGTATTCGGCAAAAGGTTAGAAAGTGCGTGAAAGTTGAATGTCAAAACATTAATCAACTCAATGATTTTAAATGTTCCTTTTTAAAACTAATTGGACAGCTTGGTTGGGAAAACCACAAAAATTTTAACAAATCTAGCGAGCTATTGAATTTTTATTAGTTGAACTTATGGAGCGCAGAAAAAATCTATTGATAGTTATAGCAGAAATATGCTCATTTTAGAAAAAGTTTATTAAGATATTATATCCACTTGTCAATTACAAAAATCGCTTATGTTATGCATATACATATATCAAATATACATATATTTAGCAATATTTTCCAAAAGCTTTAGGTGGATAAACACTTATACTATATTACTATATTTTGTAAATGTATTTCAAATTTAACGTTTATTTAAAAAAAAAATTATTTTTAGTCAAATTATTGCCCATGTGAAGCTATAACATTTCTCTCGTCTTTCTGGCAATTTGTGTTTTCCAGCGCCCGCTTTGGTGGCAAAGAATGAAACAAGCCAAAAACATACCCCATTTTGGTGTGAACCGTATTACAGTGAGAACGTTCCGCATGATAGAATATTGTTGTCTTGTGTATAATCGCCAATTCTTAGCTTCAATTTGATGAGTTGTTGTAAAAATTAATGTTTTCAGAAGCCCATAATACAGCACGCTCTTCTGACCCCAACAAATAAAGGGAAAATTCAGCTTTGCCGTTGACTTGGCTGAAGAGTTTGAGTAATGGGTTTGTATTATTGGTTGGTGGGTTAATTTTTCATTCCTACTTATTTTTGTAGTATTCAAGTTGCTTTTCTGACATACAAAATCGCCTCTCAACGTCTCTTGGCTCAATTCATACGGCAACCAATTTGCTAGCTTTTAAATGAATACGGTTGCTTTTAAACGTTTTGAATACACGACTGTCATGGAAATGACATCCAGCAACCACTACTAATAATATTCTAAGCATAAAATACTTAAAAATATTTGCTAAAGAGCTGCATAACATCTAAAATAAGATATTGCAATGAATTAATTTAAAAATGATTTACAAAATATTGAAATACAAAACAAGAGAGGAAATAAAATTTGTTTTCACAAAGTTATGGACTAAAACCTAATGAATCATATTCCAACTAATCAACGACTCTTTCACAATAAATCTGCATTAATACGATTACCACTCGTTATGCTGCCAACTGGCAACTGGATAAACTAGAATGGCAATAATAATGGCCGTAATAATATTCAAGCTCCCTCTCAATGATACTTCAGCTACCATGCGCTGCTGTGCCGTGAAGCCAAACAACAGGGTCGCAATTTCAAGTGCTTTACAAGTCCCATTACAGCTGTGAATTCACTCAGTGAGCCAGAAACAACAACAGCGCCAGCAAACCACAAAATTGAGGCGTTTGTGCGTTACGGACACAGCCTGGCCGCCAAAAACCGCAGTATTTCTTTGTTAAGGTGTTTTCCTTTTCAGTTTTGTTTTGCCAGCCTCAGGGGATTGCTTGCCTTTTCTGCTGCAAAACCAAAAAATAAAAAGTTTACAAGAAAAACAACAATGAGAATAATAAATGTAGGCTTTCGACA